CCTTAAAGTGAATTTCCTTCCAGAAAGGACATAAAATATAAACATTTAGAAGATACCAACAAAGAATGTCTGTAAGAATTAAATATAGGAAAGAAGTGTTGAGTGTGAGTCCTGGTAGATGCTTGGGGAAACAGATACATCTTCATTCTTTAGTTAAGTGAGAAGTGATTTTCTGTTAAATCTTAGTCTACAAAGTAATGGGTTCACTGCAGTATTTTCACACACTTGTATCATTGTACTGCTTTATTTTGCTCCCTCTTCACTTGTCCCTTCCTTCTGACTTGCCTTCTTCTTCCAGAGTAGTTAGTCTCTCTCACTACTACTTTCATGACACATTGTCCATTATCTTCCATAAGTGTGATTTCTTCTTCCTCCTCTTCCTCTGTAGCCCTGGAAATCCCTTTGTAGATCAGGTTAGCCTTGAACCTAGAGATCTACCTGTCTGTGCCTCCCTAGTGCTGGGATTAAAGGTATGTGTCACCATGGCCAGACTAAGTGTGGTAATTTTCAATGAAAACTTAATTTTCCCACTCCTTTTCTGCTTCCTCTTTTCTTTGATTTTTTCTTTTTTCTTTTTCCTCTGTAGGGAGTCACCCTAGCCCCGCCCAATAGTCCTGGGGCAGGTACCAGGTGGATCCGGGGACTCGCCCAGAAGGGCGTGGTGAAGGAAAGCCAGGGTGACGTAAGGGAGCTTCTTAAGGGGCTGCACGTGGGTACCCTCGCTCTCTTTTGTTCTGGCCACGCTGGCTGGGTTCTATAACCTAGCTCTGGCCTGTGTTTCACCTTGCTGTCATCTGAAATAAAGAGACCTTAATCCAATATCTGGCGCCCAATGTAATTTCACGAACCTGAAGAGCCAACGGGCATCCAGGCTGAGGCAGGCGGATCTCTGTGAGTTTGAGAGACAGCCAGAGCTGTTACCCAGAGGAACCTGTCTCAAAACGAAACAAACAAGCAAAAAGCTAACTGACAGTTCTGGTGGTTGTCTGGAACAGATGGGATATAGGAATGCAGGAACTGAAAATGTTCCTGGGAGTTCTTCCTGAGATGTCTTAAAAAACAAAACCAAAAAGCTTTTGTCAGTAGCAAACAGTGCACTGTCACACTGCACCATCACATACTATAGTTTCTGAGTCTCCTCCTGATGACTCCTTTTGGCCATTAATTTTGAAAAAACATACAGTGTTCTCTCTATTCTCACTATTTTCAGACTGTTGGCTTTCATCACTGCTATGAACAAATAAAACAGAAGTAACTATGTCCTGAGATGTGTTGAGTTTCAACTTGTATAATTAGGAATCACAATCTTGAACTGCATACACCTATTTGTGGGTTCATTTTTACTGTCACCACAATCACTGAACTGTGTTGAGTCACTTGTTTCTAGACTGCCTCCCTCTCTTCATTCCCTCTGTACATTTTTGGAACTGCAAACATGTGAACTAATGATTTCGTTATAGCTTCATAATTTGGACTGGAAGGTTGTGATGTGGCTTTGTTATTTTGGGTGGTAGAGTGAGTCTGAGAAACTAACTTCTAAAGGCTGGCATCCTGAACTTCTTTTATTCAGTTGGAAACCTTTCTCATTAGTTTCTTTTTCCCTGTTATTTCAATGTTGTCTTTATCCAGACTCTTCCAGTTCTTCTTTCTGGTTTCTGTAGGAGACCCATTGGCTCATTTTTCCTCTCCTACATCAAATGTTGGTGGTTTTCAACTATTAGCATTTTTTTTCTGAATTTCTATGGATAGAATCTTCAAAGTCTCAAGTGTCATTATTACAGGAATGTGTTATATTTATCTATGAAAGTGGTCTTGTTGATCACTGAGAGGTCTGTCTAGGAGCTGAGCTTTCTGAATTCACAGATCTGCCATGATTTGCTTTTTATTTCCTGCTGCAATCTTAGTATCTTTCTTCTGTATATTCCTGGCTATTCTCCTAGATGCAATCCCAGACGATTAAACGTCTGAGCATGCAACTCAGCATCACATAGAGCTTCTGCATGTGATTTGTGGCTTGAATCTCTTTTCAGTTTAGCTTTATTTCTCCTGTTTCTTATTTCTGTGGAGGTCCTAGCCCAGAAATCTCCTAAGCAACTGATTCTGCTTTTGGCTTCATCAAGAGATTCATGTTGAGGGGGTTATTTTCTATCTTTTCCTAACACTGGAGGAAGAGGTGGTGCAGTTAGGGTCTGCCTTTTCCTAGTTATTCTTAGAATGGGCTCCTGAACCTCAAACACAGAGCCGCTTCACCAGCAGGAAGTTCAGTTCCCAGCAGACTGTGATCTGGGTGTGTGTCTGTCATTGTATCTTGATGCCTTCTTGCTTTCTTGATGTGTTCTGGTTAGTATTCAGTCATCTGTACTGACCTGTTCTTGGGGTTCTGACAGGATACTTCTAAGAGTACCATTTGCGCACATTCACTACGTTCCCTTTTAAAAGGGCCCTCCCACCTCCCATCTCTATCTGTCTGTTCCTTTTTCTCTCTCTCTGCTTTGCCTGCCCCTCCTGCCTCTCTTTTCTCTTCTACTGATCCTGTCCCCAGAGACTGGTCTCCAAGATCCCCCCCCCCCGTTTTCTCATTCCCCCTCCTAAACAAAACAAAACAAAACAAAACAAACAAAAATCAACTGCATATGAACTCTGTCACATGGCATCTTTCTAAATTACAAAAGTCCCAATTCCTAATCTAGGAGCAGAGCTCTCTACCGGGAGTTTTCAGCCTTGACTTGGAGCCTGGTGTAGACCTAGTGACCATGATTTACTTTTACTAATTTAACTATTTTCAGGTCCAAAGGAAACTCCAGTTCCACAAACCCTAAAAGACAGTCCAAATGACCAGAAATAAACTCAACCTGGACTAGAGGAGGATCTCTATTGGTTAGATAAAAGCCAATGTTTCTCAGCTGGTTCTGCTCCTACCTTCCTTTTGGCAGAAGGGATACATGGTTACCTGTGGTACCAGACTCCCTCAGTATCACAAGTGCCTGCTACATATTTCAAAGTCCATGCTGGTGACCTAGCCAGCCCTCCCTTCACACCCCTCCCCTAAACTTCCCAGGTTACAGATCTCCCCCAACCCCAGTGCTCTTCTCCTTATAATTCTGCTATTCTCCATTTGCTTGTTCTCTCTTTCTCAGCTCTATTCCTGCTTCTTTCATGGTACTTTCTCTATCCTCTAGTCCTTGCCATTTCCTCCTCTCTCACAGATAGCCCTGGCTATGGACAGTCTGCTGGCTGTGTTAAGGCTACTTTCTCTTTCTGCTCTGAACTCTTCCAGATGCCTCTGACTGTTCTCTCCCTCTTGTCTACATTAAAAACCTTCCCCTTAATGACACCATGGAGAAGTTGTATCATCAGTTTGTGCAACTATATTCTTTTTAATTTTTTTCATGATGTCTCTACAAGAGACTAAGAGTTAGACTCTTTGATAGGTGGACAGATAGGGAGAGGGTCCTGGGCTAGGCAATAAAGGTGGAGAACTTCCTAAATGGCCAACTTCTTTCACACCCTCTTGACCTGACTGACACAGAAGCCAAGGGGCTTCAAACAAAGGCCTTATTGGCTTGTCTCCACCAGCTGAGCCCCTGCTGGACTGGCTCAACAAGTTCTAGGCCTGACCAGGATATGTTACACAACAGTTGTCAGCCAAACTTTTCCATCTTTTTTTTTTTTTTTTCTAACTGACCAACTCTAAATTAGGGCAGAGTTAAACTATTTAGAGACTTTAAAACTCCAGCCCTCCTGGAGAAGAGACTGGAATTTTCAGCTTTCTTAGTATCACCATGCCCTACTTTCCCCCCTCTTCCCCCATGCTCCCCCCTTGTCAGCTTTGTAGAGGGTCTTCTCTCTCTCTCTCTCTCTCTCTCTCTCTCTCTCTCTCTCTCAGTGTGTATGTGTGTGTGTGTGAGTCTTTGTATCTGTCTCTCTTTCTGTGTATGTGTGTGTATGTTTTCCTCACTCCCAGTAAATGCCTTTCTTCAACTGCTGGTTCTGTCTGCTGCTGCCTATAGTGTTTGAGATTTCTCTCCTGCTACCTATCACACTCAAGATACCTATCACACTCAAGATATTCCATACCTTTTAATTCCCCCCCCCCCCCCTTATTCTGAGACAGGGTTTCTCTATAGCTTTGGAGTTTGTCCTGGAGCTCACTAGTAGACCTGGCTGGCTTCAAACTCACAGAGATCTGCCTGTCTCTGCCTCCCAAGTACTGGAATTAAAGGCATGAGACACCTTTTAATTCTTTAATTGGCAGAGAAAATGATCTTGATCAAGACCCTTAAAATGTATCATCTAAGGCTAGACTTGAAGTTAAGACCCCTCCTGCTTCTGCAGTGATTATAAGTATGGACCTACTTTTTGTTTTGTTTTGCTTTTTGTTTTGCACTAATAATGCAATTACAACAGGATAGGATGCTGGATGCTGTGATGCTCTCTATACCTGTTGACATTGATGCATGTATTTTCTATACAAATAAAAACCTCTGAATTAATTAAAATTATTTGGCATGAGGCTGGAGAGTTGGGTCAGCAGGTAAGAGCACTTGCTGATCCTTGCAGAGACCCAGGTTCAGTTTCCAGCATTCATGTCACGTGGCTCATAAATGCCCGTAACTAGAGCTTCAAAGGCACTGATGTCCTCTTGTGACCTCTTCAGATACTTGCACACACATGACATAAACACCTACTCACACACACATAAATAAAAATAAATCTTAAAAGTGTTTTGGAGGGGTTGGAGATGACTCTGGTTATGAGCACTGGCTCCTCTTCCAGAAGACTGGTTTTGGTTTCTAGCACCCACCTGACAGTTTACAATCAATGGCAGACCCAAGGGCTGCCAATACCCTCTTCTGGCCTGTGCAGGCATTAAGCATACATGCAATACACAGACATGCAGGCAGTCAAAACACATAAAATAAAAATAATAAAAAGTAGTTGGAATAGCTAAACATCCAAATGCTATGAATAAAGTCCAATAACTAAAGTAAGCTGCCACCTAGAAGTCTTTTACTTTGGTTCTTGGGGCTCAATACAGTCAATACCTCATGAGTTTCCAGGTTACATATTTCCCAGACATCTGCCATTGTGGTGATCCCTAAAATTTTCCTCACAGGAATTATAAATCTGTCCCTAGTATTCATGGAAGATTGGGCCCAGGAATTCCCTCTTAACCCTTTTAACTCTATAATAAAGCCCTCCAATAATAGTTTCTCAACGGGTCCTTAGACAATGCAGCCTAGTTCCCACTGAGACAATGATGGGGTAGCCAAATCCACCTCTGAGCCTTACTTTCTTGACCACAGTGGTAAGAAGTCTTCCAGGAGCAGGCATACAGGAGCCTCCTGGCCTCTGCATTTAGGATTTCACAATGTAGGGAGGTGGGGGTAGAAGGATCAGAAGTTTGAGGCTAGTCTGGACCATATGACCCCTGTCTCAACAACAAAAAACAAACAAAAACCAAAGGTGAAGATAAGGACCAGATAAAGAGGAACATTCATTACACCACACATTTCCAGATAAAAACCATGAAATATCTATTAGGAGAAACTTTAGTATATCACACATTTCTAATGGTGGACAGTTCCCCTAGTCATTTCTTGGGGCATGACTTTTGGAAGCACAATAAGCTCACAAGCTCTTTCCAAATGGAGAGGGAATCTTACTCAAGAGATATGAAAACATCCAGTCATGTTCTATATCTAGAAGGAATTTGGGTCAACAAGATGGCTTAGAGGGAAAAGGCACTTGCTACCTAGTCTGAAGACCTAAATTCCATTCCCAGGACCCATATGTTAGAAGGAAAGATCCAACAAGTTGTCCTCTGATCTTCACATGTGTCCCTTAAAAACAAATAAACAAAGAAGCAACCAAGGGTAAATAAAGGGCACAAATAAATCAGCAAGTATTTTAAATTGGTGTATCTTCTATCATTTCCACTACTGGATATTCTTATTTAATGCGCTATACTAGCAACTAATAATTTTAAATGTACCCCCCACACACATTTTGACCAATAGCAATAAAGTAGAAAATCAAGTTTGCAATTTTTATGAGATAATTTATAAAGAATTGTTATCTTTTTTGGACAATAATCACATATTCTTCTTCCCTTTTTATGTGTAATTAAGTAGTTCATGAGAAAGGTCCTAGAATGTAGGTACCTCATGAAACACAATAAAAAACTAAAAGTTAAAAGATGATGTTAGGGGCACTTACGATTTCTTTGGTGGTTTGAATGAAAATGGCCCCCATAGGCTGATATATTTGAATACCTGATCTCCGTTGGTGGAATTGTTTAGGAAGGATTAGGAAGTATGGCCTAGTTGGAGGAGTGTGCCACCGAGGTTTCAAAAACCAATGTCATTCCCAGTTGGTGCTCGATCTCTCTCTCTCGGATCTCTCTCTCTCTCTCTTTCTCTCTGTCTGTCTGTCTCTCTCTCTCTCTGTCTGTCTCTCTCTCCCTCATGCTTATAGATCAGATGTAATCCCTTAGTCACTCTTCTAGTACCATGTCTGTCTGCTTGCTGCCAGGTCCCCACCATAATGGCCATAGACTAATGCTCTATAATCATGATCTCCAAATTAAATATTTTCTTTTATAAGCTGCGTTAGTCATGGTGTGTTGTCCTGACAATAGGAAAGTAACTAAGACAGTACCATACAGCAGTAGAATCTGCAGAAGCAGTGGAGGAATCGAGAGGCTCACAAGTTTGAGATCAGCCTGGCCTTCACATTTCTGTCAGGCTTGGTGATGTATCTCTGAGTTCAAGGCCAGTCAGTGTACAAAGAGACTACAGGCTTCTGGAGCTGTACAGTAAGACCATCTGAAATGAGCAAACAAACAAAAAACAGCATCAAAATTAAAAAAAAAAAAAAAAAAAAAAAAAAAAAAAAAAAAAAAAAAAAAAAAAAAAAAAAGGGGAGGAGGTGGGCAGCCAGCCTAGAGGTGCATGCCTTTAATTTCAACACTAGAGAGGCAGAGGCAAGAGGATCAATGTGAGTTCAAGGCTATCCTGATCTACATATAAGGTCCCATCCAGACAGGACCAGTGTGAGATCCTGGCTCAAAAAGCAGGGAGAGGGAGCTAGAAGGCTGGAAATGTAGCTCAGTAGTAGAGTCTTTACTTAACAAGTGTTTAGGACCCTAGGTTCATTCCACAACACACACAAATGTATTATTATATATGTTATAATATATATTACCTTAAAAACCCATGTTTCTGTCTTAAATGTGTCTTTAAGGTAGCTCAAAGTACAGCTGTTGGAAACACACTAAACAATACTCACTTTTTGATAATGGGAAGTTGATGGGCAGTATTGTAAAATGACTCCTATTGGAGTCCTACTTCCCAGCCTGGGTTCCATAGAATCCTGTTTCAAAAACCAAAGTAAAGCATCAACAATTAGAAAATATGTAAATTTAAAAAATAACAACACACATAAGGTTGCCTAAACAGCAATGCAATAAATGCCAGCTGTGGAAGTTGTCTTCATTGTGTCTACATGAAGAAATTTGGTCACATCTCTGTTTCTCTTGGTCCTGCTTTTCAGGTGTTAGGGGTCGGCAGAGGGCAGGTCATTCCTTTCCTAGCAATTCCGATATGTGACAAGAATCATGCAAGAAAAAAAAATCAAGAAGAGTTGTTATGGCAGGTACATGAGTACCTGGACAGCACAAGCGAACAAACTCGCCCTCGCTTCTTTGCGGGTCCTCGAATTCGTCGCGATTCTCCGCTTGAGCCTCTTGAGTGTTGAGGTTTAGAAGTATGAGCCGACGCACCCAGCTAGCAGATTTAATCTATAATTAGGGTCCCCAGAAATAAAAGAAAGCGGGCGTGTGTCACAGAGGCACACTCTCTGAAAAGACCCTCTAAAGAAGGTCAGGCAGGAGAAGCTGCTGGTATGCACACAACTCCGTCCTCCGTGTGCGCTGCACAAAAAAGGAATGGTGATCCTCAGGTTTCCTTAGAGAGCGCCAGACCAGCGATCTCTTAAATACAGAACTGGCTTTTCAAGCAA